GTAGTTTAAATTCACCCAGAGGTAGTTCAAATTTCACCCTGGAAAACAAGGCTGGCTATCTGCTTCTGAAAGGTCACAGCCTTGAAAACTTATGGAGCAGTTCTATTCTGCACACATGTGGTCATTAAGAGTCAGAGCTAGTCAACCCTTTTCTTAGACGCTTTTAGTTTTCGAGAGCTGCAGCAGCAGGGCTCTGCTTTCTCTGTTGGCTCTAGGGGAAGATCCTTCCTTGTGTCTTTCAGCTTCTGGTGGCCCAGGGATTTTGCTTTAGTTTTGTTTTATGTTCCTTGGCTTATAGATGGATCCTCACATGATGTCTTCACCCTGTGGGTGATTCTGTGTCTATTCTCCCCTTTCATAAGACACCACACAGAAGAGATTAGGATCCTCCCTATTCTATTATGACCTTGTTAATTTAACTGATAACAAAAGAAAAACTCTATTTCCAAACAAAATCACACTTACAGGTAGAGGGTAAATGACTTCAACCTATCTCTTACAAAAAAAAAAAAAAAAAAAAACACCACCTCACTTCTGTGGAGTTGGATCCAACTCATAGCGACCTCTCCTTGGGTTTCTGGGGCTGTATCTCTAAGGAAGTAGATTGCTCCATCTTCCTTCTGAGCAGTGGCTGATGGGTTTGAACTGCCAGCCTTCTGGTTAGCAGTCAAATGCCTTAGATACTATACCACCAGAGCTCCTAGGAAACACCAAAAGAAGATGGAAGGAATACACAGAGTCACTGTATCAAACAGAATTGGTCGATGTTCATCCAGTTCAGGAGGTGGCATATGATGAAGAACTAATGGTATTGAAGGAAGAAGTTGAAGCTGCCCTGAAGGAATTGGCAAAGAACAAAGCTCCAGGAATTGATGGAATACCCATTGATATATTTCAATAAACGGATGCTGCACTGGAGGCACACACTTGGCTATGCCAAGAAACTTGGAAGACAGCTACCTGGGCAACTTACTGGAGCAGATCCATATTTGTATCCATTCTAAAGAACAGTGATCCTACAGAATGTGGAAATTATCGAATGAGATCATTAGTATCACATGCAAGTAAAATCTTAACCTGAAGATAATTCAAAAATGGTTGCAGCACTGTATTGACAGAAGACTTCCAGAAATGCAAGCTGGATTCAGAAAAGGACATGGAACGAGGAATATCATAGCTGATGTCAGATAGATGTTGGCTGAAAGCAAAGAATACCAGAGAAATGTTTACTTGTGTTCTATTGACTATGCAAAAGCATTCGATTGTGTGAATCATAACAAATTATGGATAACATTGAGAAGAATGGGAATTCCAGAACACTTAATTGTGCTCA